CGACAGATATTTGACTGACAAGGAACTATGAGTGAGAACATTTGAAATTTCTTCCTGTCTGGTCATCGTCAGACCAGACAGAAACGACCAACGACCAAAATCCAATATGGAGCGAACTCTCTCTAGCGTGCCGCTAGCGTACGTCAGCTGGTGACGCTGGGAATACGCTGGAAGCGCTACGCTACGCTGCTCTACGCTGCCGCAAAGTATAAACGCAGCCTTCGAACTTCCATTTGCCATCCATCTCTCGTCGGCTCTTCAATTACCCTTCGAATTTACTCTTCACTGCGGGACTGTATAGGACTAAACATTTGAAATTTATTCACTATGTCTTGGACTAAAAACAATACACTTTTCGCTTGATATGTGTCCACTAATCTACAATCTGCATATAATCTATCCTATAATAAACATACAGAATAAGCGATTTAACGAGTCACTAAAATGGACTACTTCGGATATGTACATCACCGAAACACACGGAAAAATCAAAGTAAATTAGTAAGTGTCAAATTTCGCTCGCAAACAGAGTGGAAGAGCGAGGAACATGGGTAAAAGTAGAGATAACTGCTTGAATAGCTGTTCATATTGTAGTAACCGACGCAGGTGGCAAACGAGGACCATCCATTAGGTACGGGCGAAAATGGAAGGATCAACCATTTCCTGAAATCCACCCGTTTTAATTTTGTCGGCAGGAAAATCATCCCAGTAAGCGAAGGCGGGAGTTTATTACGAACGCAAACGTACAATTGTAGAGGATCCAATCCATCGTAGCCAACAAAGGACGGCTTTCCGAAGTCATCATTCGCAATGGCACACCTCATGTGCGAACTGAAAGTAATCACTGCAGCCAAAAGCATCGAAAAGGGCCTGAATCCACTTACGAGCCGTCCGGTCCGGCGACTTGCCACCGCGGGAATGAGTCAGTTGCGCACTGTCCAAGTCCAATCCAGCTCCAGAAGTATGGCGGTGTCTCTTTCATCACTTCGCTCTGAAGGAAAGAGAATGATCAAGCACTTTTATCGATGGCAACCAGCAACTCACAAATTCTTCAGTGGAGTCAGCGACAAATAGCGTGGCTCCCTTCTCATTGCATGCTTTCTCAGCCTGGCCCAAACTCATCTTGCTCGACTCGACGTAGTAGCACGAATCTTGGTAGCTGATCCACCCATCAGGACAGACGAGGGGTTCCTGGAAAGCTATAAGATCTGACACCAACACGATACTTGTAGCTATACCGCCAGGAGATTCACCGGCTCTTCCAAGATACTGCTGCTCTGGACGCCTACAACAGCTTCCTCTTCGTTGGCAACAGCAAGAGCACGATCGTCTCGGAGGTTCTGTAGTGGTTGGTGCCTCAGTTGTAGTTGTTGTCGTGGTGGTGGTGGTTGTCGTCGTCGTGGTTGGGTCTTCGTAAACTTCGCAGCAACAGCAACATCCGCATGGTTCAGCTGAAAACCAAAATTTCTCTCCAGTTACTGAAACGCCTTTCCTCAACTCACGCGTCGTTGTCGGCTCCGTAGTAGTGGTGGTCGTGGTTGTTGTGGTAGTTGTTGGGTCTTCGAAGACTTCGGCGCAACAGCAACAACACGAAGATACTGTAAGCGGTGCAGTTTAGGTAGCAAACGAAAAGTTGGCTAAGAGTTCAACCATTACCCGCTGAAATAGGGGCTAAAGCGACAACGGGAGCAGGAGTAGTAATTGTCGGCTCTTCCGGACACGGACATCTACATCCATCACCGCTTCCTTCATCGAGATCGATAGGGAACGGACGACCCGTAACACGAAAGCGAAGACCAACAAGGATCTGTAACAACTTGATATTGAAAAGAAAGGTGAAACCCGAATAGAAGAAGACTCACATTAGAGACATCGGGACTGGAGTCTATTTCTCAGCCGCAGTGTCCGCTTATGTACTCATACAACTTGCCTCTGGCAACTTACGTTATTGAAGATCAGAGCCTTTGACAACCTCTACTGGTTTTTCAGCCTTCCGCGTTCCATTTACAATCTGAGTCGATTAGGGAGCTGTAGGTTTCTGCAGCTTTCGGAATTTTGTGCGGCTAAAATTTTGAACACTTCATTGGCCATTCTCCGATGAACGTTTACTTCGAGGTTCTGTAGTAGGAAATTTATCGGCCTCTTTAGTTCTCTAGATATGACGATAAAGATCTTGACCTACACTGAGCCTTGTCCATCGATCGCAAAATGGAAATAGTACGATCAAATCCTGGTACCATCCTGTTGGACGACGTATTATGTAATACTACGTGATTGTTATTCGAATCATACTGCGTCTGCTTTGCCTGAAACCCAGTTTGAATATTCTGAACCGTGCCCGACGTGTTGCTCCGTCAATTTTCCACTCCGTGAATATCGTACCATCAGGTGCCTCATAACTCTTGTCCTAATATTTATCAAACCCCGCGATAGATTCTCGCAGGATGAAATGTGGTGTGAATTGTGACGTGTAAGACTGAGTGGGGAGTCTTTGGCTAGGAGTATATTTGAAAACATAAATAGATAGACCAATGAAAGTTTAAGTCAGGAGTTGCCGATCAGCCAACTAGGTGTTTAGATAATTCAACACCGTCATGCCATTGACTACGGATTAATAATGAAGTCTGGTGACCTGTGCAAAGGACGCCCGGAAATGTCAGTGCTGCATTACAGCTGTCTAACGATCAGGCACTGCTACCGATAGCCCGATAGCCCTGTGAAGCTACGGCTCAGCTCTCTTGTCAAAGGTAGTACGAGCTGAGAAAGTAAATCTAGGGAACATCTATGTTGGGGATTCCCCAACTAGAGGGGGGGGGGTCATACTTGGTCGCTTAGACAAGGAAGTCGCATGTAGTCTGAGGAACTTTCTTGTAGTTGATTTTTCTTGTTTCAGGGACGCTGTATATTCCTGCTGACGCTGCTGACATTTCGTGGTTTTCCTGTTTCATGTGTACTATTTATATCCCCCCTTCTCGCCCCCCGCTTGACAGAAGAATTAGCGAAATTTTTCTGCAGAAGTAGGACAAGATTCTCATCAAATTCCTGAGTGGTGAAATGTTGGGGAAAATCTAAAAAAACCAAGGAAGTGGTCGAGTGGGGGTCGTATTTTCCTCGCGGTTTTTCTGGTCCTGTTCAAACGTATCCTCGTTTTCCCAGCTCGACAGCTCGATGAGGAGAAAAGCACGGGGGGGGGTCGTACGGACCAAAATCCCTAACTAATGATGTGCCTTGATCCAGCCTTCATGTGTGGTAGCCGACCATAATTGTATTTTCATAACTTATTCCCAACATTAATGGAAAACCCGAGGGAGATTCATCAACTGTCCTATAATGTATGCATTTAAGGATTGTGCTCCTGAGCATCAGAGTAGTTTCTTCAGTTCCAGCCCTTCAAGATTGCGCAGCTCGGCGATTGGGGGGGGGGCATTTTGCACTTTCGTTGCTTTAGTATTAGTTCCGGCTAGTTCCGGTTTACAAGTCTCACTCTGGTGAAACCTGTGAACTCTTGTGAAGCTGGAGCAAGCTCGTCAAGCCATCATGGTGAAACCTGTCAACTCGAGAAGAGGCTGTCTAGATGGGTCGACACGTCGATGGGAAATAGCTGAAGTGCAAAATGCCTACCGTCGCCGAACTGTGCCCTTCAAAATTACTCATTTAGGAGCTTGTTTGTTTCGATCGTGCGTAAGTTGGCAGTGCCACCTGTTATGAAACTGTTTCTGCCTCCATAATTCACAAGACACGTTAGTTAACATTTTTAAAGATGAGCCGCGCTCACGACTTCTATACAAACTCGTAGCTGCATTCTAGCGCGTACCGGCCTTTGTCAACACTTGCAGGGCCCAGTATCTGCACTAAGCTCATTGTTAGTAATATATCCTGATTGCGAGTCGGTGCTTTCCAAAACGCGATATGTAATGACGATGCACAATCCTTCAAGATTTTCAGTAAACTAAGTAAGCTTTCAGCAAACCGCCCGCGGTGCAGTAGTCGTGTGGGTCTTCCTTGCTGAAATCTTGCGAGGTTGGTAGATCACTATATCGGCTTAAATGCATTTTGCCAGTAACAGAGCCCTCATCCTGAAAGGATTGAACCTATTGTGACTACCCGACGGAACGCGGAGTTTCGAAATCAAATAACAGGTCATCATTGAACCACAATTACTACAAACCCACTTACCGTAACTCACATCAGTCCCATCCTCTATACCGCTATGAAGCTGACTGTTGGGCCATATTGGCCTATTCTTCATTTCCAATTCGATATGCCCAACGCAGCCCATAAAATATACAAAAGAGGTTTTGCCAAGCTCGCATCATTCTGATTCTGGACCACT